TTTGTCATGCCATTCATATATACATATCGATATATCTGTGTATATATCTTTATCTAAAGAGAGAGAGAGAGAGAGAGAGACAGAGAGAGACAGAGAGAGAGAGACAGAGAGAGACAGAGAGAGAGACAGAGAGAGACTATTCCACCTAGTGAAGTCTATGGACCCCTTCTCAAAAGATTGCTTTTAAATAATGGAAGGAAACGAAAAATTTTGGCTTTAATATTAGTGAAAATAAAGATAGGTATTTTTTTGTCCTGTCCAAGTCCATGAATTACCTTGAAATCCATCCCAGGACTTCTTGGAAGTCATGGTCCCTTGAATTAACAAAGTTTCTTAACCTGGTGCCCACAATCCATGAGGGAACCTTGGGTAGATTTCAAGGTGCTTCTTGAAGCAGGATGGGCCAGATTACCAAAGGCATAGATGACATACAAAAGATTAAGAACTGCTGCTCTAATATATTCTCAATTCCTCAGAATGGAGCTGTGGAATAGACACCACCTCCATTGCCTTGCGCCAAAGATTCACAACAAGGTCCACGTGGTGTAGTTCTCAATGGTCTTACAAATGTCACACAAAATATCCCAAACAATTCCTCCAACACAGTTTTTAGACAATACCCAAATTCAAGTCTTTAGAGAAGGCCTCGACCTACCGCAGCTGATGAACCTGGAGAGCAATCATCAATTACAAAAATTATGCAGATTCAACCAACAAGAACAGTTATTATATGTAGGGCATGGTTAAAGGCATAGAGAACATTAATGACTCTCTACGGTTGTCAAATTTCAAAATATAGTTGTTATTTTTTTTTAATCCTCCATGAGAAGTGTGGTATGGATCTTGGTAATTAGCCAGCGTGACCAGGAGTATTAAAGTATTGGCTTGGAGCGCACCTTCCTCTTTACGAAACTGATCTTGCAGACAGTATGGGAAATTAAACAATCCAGCCCTGACTCAGACCACTCTGAAACCTAAGGTTAAAATTGGAATAAAATGAGACAGCCCTACAACATTTGATAATTAACAAGTGAAGATTTACTTTATTATAGCAGGGGAAGGATATTTTAGGTGGGGAAAGCATATTCGGCCAGGATACAGCCTTGATTCAATTGGGTGCAACATCTCTACCTCCATGTTGCCAAGGCTGGTCCAACCAACAGAAGCCACATGGAGGAGATGGAGGAGCATGACAAATAGTTTTCATGAGTATTACTTTAACAATAGTGCTATGTCCCCTTCATTCATACTTGTTCTCATTATTTCCTCTTAGAGTTGTTGTTCTTCCTAACAAATTTTGCTAGTTCTAAAAAGCATACCATTAATAATTTGCTATAACACTAGTATAACTGAAAACAAAAGCCCTCAGGGATTGCCCAGAGCTCTTGTATCAAGGAGTTCATCCCAAGTGAAAGCCCCAGATATGTTCCAGAGACTCTCATTTCTCTGGTCTGTTGTTACCATCAAAATGGTATGGGAGCTTCAGTATCTGATTCTCTCCAAAGTCAATGACTAGCTTCCCTCAAGTTCATAAGCTCACAAGTCTCAAGACATGAACAATTTTATTTACAAATAATGGGGGGAGGGGGGGAAGGACTTTCCTCTGAGCCCATATAACATGAGATGTAATGGTATTTTTTTATACGTAATATGGTTTTAATGGGATCATATCCAATACATACATTATTTTCCTCAACTTTATTTTTATATTATGCTAATATTTTTTAAGAAGTATAACTTAGACAGGTTTATAGGCTAGTTTAGATTCCAACTTCTTAGAATCAGCTGTAGGTAGAGCCTAAGTCGGGCTGCAATTACTATTATCTGCCATGGCCTCTCTTCTCCATGTCTATTAGGTGTGATATTTCCCACCATCCTCACTGAATTCTGTAATCTATATTACCTCGCTTGCAGATCTCTGCAGTTAGACTTCGTTCCAGGAGATGATGCATCAACTTACTGCTACCTGAGTTCTCAGCATTCTCTGAATTTCATCTCTTCTCCAGCAGATGGCACTTTCCCCTTTTTCTAGGAGACCAGCTTTTTAACTTGGCCAACAAAAGAAACAAACAGAAAGAAAAAACCAGAAACCAAGGGTAACATTTAAATAGGAAAAGTCAGAAAGTGAAGAAAGAAAAGAAGGAAAGGAGGAAGGAAGGAAGGAAGGAAGGAAGGAAGGAAGGAAGGAAGGAAGGAAGGAAGGAAGGAAGGAAGGAAGGAAGGAGGGAGGGAGGAAGGAAGGAAGGGAGGGAGGGAGGGAGGAAAGAAGGAAGATTAGGAGGGTGGGAGAAAGGAAGGGAGAGAGAAGAAGAAAGTAAGAGAAAGGGAGGGAGGGAGGGAGGGAGGAGAGAGAGAGAGAGAGAGAGAGAGATACAACCACATACAAGAGTGTATACGTTATTAGTGGCATGGAAACCTCAATTTCTTTTATCACCTAGGGTAGTAGAAACATTTTCTAGTAATCCTGTATTCTCCTGCTGATAAATTTCATAAATGAAAGACAGCCTAATACATGAGATAGGAATTTCACCTATGTCGGCAGCAAGAAGAGATATGGTATAGTAACTAGAGACCTGGCCTCAGAGGGTGCTAAAGAGGAGATAGCAGTGGCTGGTTTTAATACATCTAAAACATACAGGTTAGAGAGCTTATTTCTGGTGAAATGCTGAGAATTTTCCCTAAATGGAATCTTGTAATGTTGTGAAGATTTTTAGTAATAACCTATAATTTTAGGGCCCTAAAAGAACAGGGAAAGGGGACACACGTGGAATTGTAGACTAGTTTATCCTTAAGCTAAAACCACTAGCCTTCTTACTGTTTGCCGCAGGTCATATTACTTTGGGATGGGATCCCCAGGCACACTCCCTTGCCTCTAACCAAGGGAGTAGAACAGGGAGGAAAGTACAAATCAAAGAGGTTATGCCCAAAGCTGGATCCATGGTATCCCTAGCCAAATGTTGTCCTGCACAGCAGTATCTGATGGTTACATCTGCTTTAAAATTTTTATTCTGGTCTAGGAGAGTTAAGAGTTAAGAAATTCAGTCTATGGATAACAAAAGCATATTTTTTTGTTGTTATTTTCTAACTTCAGCTCTGCAATTGTACAGCTAAGGAAAGGCTCACACCCCCCTCATGGCTATTCAAACAGGCCCATGTCTCAATGCAGTGAATTATACATTTTTAAGGTCAGCATGGGTTGAGACAGACTCACTAACCTTTCTTTTCTTCTTCACACATTCAACCAACTATAATGCTCAAAGATCCCAAAATGTATATGAATGAGCAGAGCTAACAGATAACACTTTATCTCTCCACCCATTATTACCTTGAAATTTGTGCAAGGTGAGGAATTCTTGAGAAGTAAGAAGTAAAGCATCAGCAATGCATATCACAAGTAGAAGTTATTCATTATGTAAGGAAAAAGCTGTTCTACTGTATCTCACATACTGGCTGGGTAAGACCCACTCTATGGACTTTGAGTAAAACATTCCTCCTTTTAGATCATCCTGGGAGAAACTTTCAACACCTGTGTCTTTGACCTTTCTTTACCAAGGAACACATATGGGAAGGGGGTAAGGGAACCAATATTTAAGTACCTACTATGTGCCAGGCATTGTGTGCTAAGTGCTTTATGCCTAAAGGGGAAAATACTCTTCAAGAAACCTTGATAAGACAAGTAAATTTTATGTGAGGACTGGTTTTATTTTTTTCATTTTTTCTGGTGTACTGGTACACTTAATATATGGCCATCTATTTAGAAAGCATTTGCTACTAAATAGTGAGGAACAGATAGAGGCCATTTGTCTGAAAATAAGTTCCTCAGTTCCACAACAAGTTTAGTTTCTAGTAAATTACAGAATTATAGTTGGGCAATTATCACAGTCGCTGTCTGCCTCCTCTCTCTCCCAGGTTCCAGGAACTAAGTCATCATAGCAATACTGATTCTTGGAGTTTGAGAGAGCACCCTCTCTCTGTTCCTGTGTTCTCTGCCTTTCTCTAGGAATTACATGGGGGCAGTGTTAAAGAGGGGACAACATCAATCACCCCTTGTGCTCCTCTAGACACAGAAAAGGGAATTGCTATCACTGATGTGTGTCTATTAGGTCCATTGTACAATGGTGCCAAAGAAGAACCTAGAGCTTCTTCATTACACTTAATTCAATTCCATTTTTTTTTCCTTGATCTATCACTCAGAAAGAAACATAAGGGATTTAGGATAACACAACCTATTCTTGAGTGTAAGGTCTCATTTCCAGGTCTTTCACAACCTTGGTTTGCATCCTGTGGACACATAAAGACTGTGGCACCTAGAATTGATCACAATACCAGATTCAATTCAACAAACATTCTCCATCCCTGCCTCCCACACTGGTAAGTCTATCTATGAGATCTCAAGCTCCTACTCCAAGACAGTCTGATGAAGAAGCTTGAATACCTCTGCATTTCTGAATTTCTGCCCCTAGAATGAAGAGGGAGATCATGAGAGGGAAAAGATGGGTGAAATTCAAATCATTTGTTTTCCTCATTAGTAGCCCTGGTGAGAAATGTTGAAGTTATTGGCCAATATGTACAGTCATAGGCCAAATGGGTTGACTTGTTTGGGACAAAAATATCCTTTAAATTTTGTGGTGATAAAGCAAAGTTACAAAAAGTGAAAGAACCCATTAGTGATTGAGACCTTCTGAGTAGCTTAGCCTCATTAAGATGGTGTGAGGCATTTCCCTATAGTGCATAATCTGATACGTTCTTTTTACTATTACATGTTTTCACACGTGGACAAGATCTTGTTATTGTTCAGTCATGTCCAATTCTTCATGACCCATGGACCATAGCAAGCCATTGCCCATGAGGTTTTCTTGGCAAAGACACTAGAATGGTTTGCCATTTCCTTCTCCAGTGGATTAAGGCAACCAGAGGTTAAGTGACTTGCCCAGGGTCACACAGCTATTAGGTATCTGAGCTTGGATTTGAACTCAAGTCTTCCTGACTCTAGGCCCAGGTCTTTATTTACTGAGCCACCTAGCTGCCTCCAAGGAAAAGAATTTACTCTTCCATTATTCTGCTTTCAAGCACCATGTAGCAATCAGTGTCAAACCTCTAGAAGAAGCATAGGCTTCAGAACTGATAGTGGCCAGAAAGACTGAGAAGGTTATGGCTGTAAAGGGTATTTAACATGCAGGGTTCATCCTTCCCTATTGCACTGTGTTATCTCATGACGTGGGGTCTCTGTTTTTAAAGCTGCAATAGTAGAGTGGTGGGTGGAAAGGGTGGTGATATGGCCAAAAAGAAAACAAATGTTTTCAAATCTTTAGTATAGTTTCTATAAGCAGAAGAATGGCTGTTTTTTGTTTGTTTGTTTGTTTGTTTTCTTGCTAACTGCTTTGCTTCTTTCTGCTAAATGTTGGGGGCTTTAGGTATGTGCCTAGTATGCTTAGGATTAAAAGATCATTGAGCTACAATTGGAAAGGTCCATAGAGGCCACATGAACCCCATTATTTTAGACACAAGGAAACTGTGGCCCAGAGTGGTTTTAATGAGTTGCAGGGCAACTAGGTGGCACAATAGTAGAGTGCAGGGCTTGGAGTGAGAAAGAATCATCTTCCTAAGTTCAAATCTGGCCTCAGACACTTATTAGCTGTGTGACCCTGGGCAAGTCACTTAACTCTGTCTGCCTCAGTCTGCTCAACTGTAAAATGAGCTGGAGAAGGAAATGGCAAACCATTCCTGTGTCTTTACCAAAAAAAACCCCAAATAAAGTCATGAAGAGTCGGCCATGACTGAAAATAGCTGAACAAAAATGACTTGCCCAGATTTACTAAATAACTGATGCAGGATTTGAATTTAGTAGATCATAGAGCACTTGAAACACACACACAGACACACAGACACACACGCAGATATACACACACACAGCAGCTGTCATAATCACAGACCAAAGGACAGTAGCAGAAAATCACTGTCACAAGTCCCTGTTTTAGAGTGAAAATGGTTGGTGATACAATTGGGACGTCTTATGTGCAAGCCAACACCATTCGATTGTTGATTAAGTCAGCCAATCAGTAAGCATTTATTAACCGATTATGTGTGGGACATTGTGCTAGGTATTTGGGATACAAAGACAGCAGAAAAATGTTGTTTATCCTCATGAAATTCTCACAATTGCTATTTAGCACTTTTCCTCACTGTCCCTTTTAACTTATTACGAGACAAAATAGCAAGAAAGGGAGGCTAGAAAGTGAAAAGGAAAGTTTAGTCTATGAAAATACAGTCTATGAAAGCAAAAGTATTAAAAGAATGCTGGGGGCATTTCTTGGTTTGGATAAAGTGTTTATGGTAATAACTTTCTTCCTCTCCCGCCTCTATCTTTTTTTTTTCTTTCTTGGTAAATATTCTTCCAATGGGCTTCAAGATATTTTCTTACCAATTTTGCAAAAGGGAGGAGTGAATGAGGTAGAAGAACTATTTGGGGATAATCTTCTTTCAAGAAATGATTAGCTAAGGGGGGCAACTAGGTGGCGCAGTGCATAGAGCACTGGCCCTGAAGTCAGGAGGACCTGACTTCAAATCCAGCCTCAGACCAAAAACACTTGACACTTAACTAGCTGTGTGACCCTGGGCAAGTCACTTAACCACAATTGCCTAAAAGCAAAAAAAAACAAAGAAAGAAAGAAATGATTAGCTGAGGAGGTAATGATGAGGGGGAAAAAGAATCTCAAAATTTTCCCATAAGATATTCCAAATGAAGTATGTTCCAAAGATATGACTGCTTAAAAAGCAGATTAGGCTATTGATATTCTGTGCACTGAAAGCTCACTGACAAAATTCAATATATTCCAGTTATTCTTTTCACATATTGATCATTACATGATTTTTTTGCCTGCAACATTATTATCTAGATAATAACAGAACCCTACTACCATCCTGTGATAAGGGATCAGAGGCAAAATATTTCCAAAGGAGGAGAATATCTACAAACATGGCTTTAAATGCCTCACTTCAGAAAATGTAACAATAGGTTGATTTTATATAAGTTCCCTCAGCATTGTGCAGATCTGACTCCTGCAGCTAATTTAGACTGTACTTACATACAGAGCTATGTTTAAGCAAAACCAGTTGCCATGGTGACACTAGAGACCTTCTAAATGTAGTATACAATGTCCAAAATTACCTTTTGTTATTATTTATTAAGTTGAAATCCAGGGGAAATTTTGACAGAGTTTTGGGCAGACTAAGGTTCCCCCCCCTTTTTTTTCTATTTTTCCTACCTCCATCTGTCCATCTCTCTCTTCACTCATAGTCATTTCTATTTTTTTCCCCTGTTATTTTTCCTCACGAAGAGGATAGATGCCTACCGGTCTCTTTTAAATTCTGACTCTGAACATGTGCAAAAGAAAAATGCAGTAAGACACATAACCAACTATTGCTTCTGGTGGATCAGAATGGATCTGGGTCTCTATAAACACCTACATTCCATTTATAGAACATCTCTCCATGCTCCTTCTCAATGGAGGTGGTTTTTTGAAATGAAGTCCCTAATATTAGAGATCTCTGGGCTCTCTAATTTTAGCCTGTTCCCTCCCACACCCAATCAGGCTTATTACATTTTGAAGTCATCCACTCTGGCTGAGGCACAGGGAAGCTGGTTTGTGGGAAGAGCTGACAAAAGTGACGAGCAGCAGTTTTTGAGACCCCTGACCTTTTCATGAGAACCTCCTTGACACCGTTTGACTAAAGCCTCTTTAGTATTCAGAAAAGCCCTCTCTGTGATTTTTTTTTCTCTAACTTGTTATAATCTGATTTGGCTGAACCAGTATAAGTGTCCATTGTTAGGTACTAGTGAGATGGATGGAACCCTTTGTGAAGTCAGAGCTACCTCTCTAGATTATATCTGCAGGGTGTGATTAAGATGGGTCTAGTCAGTTGATAAATGTAACTAACTCTTATCCATCCACATTTAAGGGATTCAGGGTTTACATAATTTGTACTTCCAAAAGGAAGTATCACAGAGATGGCACATTAGGGATTCTGGGAAATAGTGGTCATGTGTGGTGAAAAGTAAAAAGGCTAGTTTGGATGGACCTTAAAGGGAGGGATGCATAGTGACATTAGAAAGGTAGGTAGAAGCCAGGTTATGAAGGGTTTTAAATGCCAAAAGTGAGATGTTTATAGCTTACCCCAGAGGTAATGGGAATATATTTCGTGGTTATTAAACAAGGGAGTTACTTGGACAAACTTAGGGCTTAAAAATATGAATTTGGAAGTTGTATGGATGATGAATTGGAGTGGGCAATAGAGAGTTTAAAGAAACCAATTAAGAGGAAACCAATTATCAGTGAGTTGGTGTGTCCTTGGGTCTCCATCTCTTGATAGAGCTAATGAATGGTAGTAATCTGCTTCCCACTGATTTGGAGATCCCTGAAGAAAATTTCCTTGAAACATACATTTGAAGATTATCTATTCATCATGTGTCAATTCCCATTCACATATTTATATACAACGATACCTTGATTAATCTCTTTTTAATAAATGTGGTCCAAAAGTGAAGATGGGAGATGTTGGTTGAGGAAGCTTCTCTATACTGTATTAGTGATGACAAGAGCTAAGGAATAGATAGCACCGTCATTATTCAGACCTATTAGAGGGGAGGGCCACACACTTAATGCTCCAGGGGCTCAGTGTCTAATCCCGAGATCTGTATATCCTTACCTCGAGTCATACTCATGCGCAAATCACTATTAGCAATACATTGTAACCTACTGATATGTACCATATATATTCCAATCACCTTTTGGGGAACCTGTCGTTTTCATTTTCCTGAAGGCACTGTGATTCCCCACCACATGGCACCCCAAGGAGAAAACTGAGAAAGAGACAGGCAGAGAGTAGTTTGGGATCATCAAAACTAATGCAAAATGGAATATGATCCTGCTTTAGAGGGGCATAAACAAAGTGCAATTCTAGGGGTAAGGAAGATAAAAGTCATTGGAACGTAGAAGGATTAAAAGAACCCTCATGGAAGCTCTGCTCATTGTTCAGAGGATAATGGCAGCTAGAATTAGAAAAACAAAATCGAATCTAGTCTTAAGGTCATTATTTTAGACTTGGAAAGAACCTCTAATCTAATCCTCTCATTTTACTTTTGAGGCCCAAAAAGGTTAGATGACTGACTCAATGTTGTACAAGTAGCAAGCAACAGAACTTAAACCTGTGATCTCTGATTCCAAAGACAGGGCTCTTCCACTGTACCACCAATGGCATAATAGATTTTGAGATTTAAGGAATCCCATCATTTTACAAATGAGGAAATTGGTACCCATAGAAGTTAAATGACTTGCCAAGAGTCAAACACGAAGTAGTAGAATCGAGATTTGAACTCAGCTCTCCTGGCTCCAAAGCCCATGTTCTTTCCTTTATATCACATTGCTCATCATTGAAGTTGCTGCACAATGAGAAAACAATGCCCATAGCTTATAAATGAGGAGTTCAACAGATGTCCATCCATGTCAATTAGGTAGAAAGCAGAGAGTAGCCAGTAAATACTGCCCACTCTGCAAGGAGTGCTAAAAAGTACTGTCTTGAATATAAACCCCAGCCATACCCTTGGTAGTTCCCCCAAAATGAAGTCACAGTTTTGATAGCCTCTCTTCTATTTCTTTTCTTCCTAGTGATAAGTTGATGAGTTAGTTGTGAGGATGTAGACTTTATTTTTGCCCTCAAATCACTGTGCGTGAATATATTCACAACTTGATTTGAACAAATGCATCAACCAGGTGAATGAATTGACCAGTTTCGGGGTGATCTCTGAACTTCGTTGGATTCAACCACTGCCCAGGGGAGATGCAGAGAATAACATATTTTCTGCACTTTCAGGTATGGGGGAAATGACAGAGCTGTATAGATTTAGAGCTGGAAATGACTTCAGAGGCGGTGTTTAAACTCCTGCTTTTTACAGATGAGGCCAAAGTGGTTGAGATTTACCTAAGATCACACAGGTAACAGAGCAGCAGAACTACATCTAATTGTTAGGAATTTTCTCCTTTCTTGTGACTTTTGCATATTACCCCTAATTCTGCCTCTTTCATTCAAGAATAACAAATTGGATTCCTCTCCCCAATGGCAACCCTTCAAATACTGAAAGATAGCTTAGTATATTCCCCAAATCTTTTCTTCTCCTGGCTAAGCATTCCCAGCTCCTTCATCCAATCCTTACATGGCATCAATCCAAGAACTTTGCCTATTCTGGTTGTTATCATTCTCTGGAAAATCTCCAAGCTATCAAGGCCCTTCCTAAAATTCACCGCCCAGAACTGAATGCAGTATACCAGATGTGCTCTGAGCACAGCAGAATACAGCAGAACTCTCCCTAATGCTGGATGCTGTCCTTTTGTAAAAGCGGTCTGAGATCATAAAGGCTCTCCTGGCTACCATATCGCACATCCATCTTGCAGTCCAGTAAACCCCCAGACCTTTCCATACGAAATAGTGTCTCAGTGCATTTTCAATATTGGACTGGGGGATTTAAATTTTTGAAATCACGATTACGCATTAATCTCTATGAAATTACATCTTATTTGGTTCAAGGTAATGTTTTATCCTGTCAGGAATTATATGAATCCTAACTCTGGTTTTCAATAGAATCACCATTTCTCCTAGTTTGTTGTCACCTGAAAATTTTATTGGCATGCCTTCTATGTCTTAGTCCAAGTCCTTGATACATGTAATCATGCATTTGTTTATTATATTTGGTGAGAGACATGCAGACAGGTTGATTTATCCTCACCATATACCACGTCCTCTTTAATCAGTCCACATTCAGCCTAGACAAGGTTGAATTATTTAAAAAAGTGAAATTGGAAAATGAGTATGATCTGAGACCACTGGGAAGAATTTCTCTGGACTATCTGGAGAATATAGCTACCAACAATATAGCTAGGGAATATATGTATATGTATATGTATATGTATACGTATACGTATACGTATACGTATACGTATGTGTATGTGTATGTGTATGTGTATGTGTATGTGTATGTGTATATGTATATGTATATGTATATGTATATGTATATGTATATGTATATGTATATGTATATGTATATGTATATGTATATGTATGTGTATGTGTATGTGTATATGTATATGTATATGTACGTGTACGTGTATATGTATATGTATATGTATATGTATATGTATATGTATATGTATATGTATATATGTATGTGTATATATACATATATATATATATACATGTGTGTATGTATACATATATATGTGTGTGTGTGTATATATATATATATATACACATATATATATATATGTATGGACAGGATGGTTATCTGCCTCTTTTTCCAATTACTACTGCTTCACAGACACTATAAAGAAAGTTCCTATAATTAATTTCCTTATAGGCTTCATAAAGAAGGTCTGAATTTAAGCTAAATACCATGCTTGGTCTCTTCTGGGTAAGTACAACCTCTCTCCTTAATAAATGTCATAAGAAATAGCCTTTCATGTTGCTAGTTGACAAAATATTGATAGCAATATTTGCAAAAAAGCATTAGTATCATTTAAATAAATATCTTTCAGTCATTGAGGAAATCTCTTGGAGATATAACTTCATGAACACTACAAATATTTTATAGCCAGAATCATTGCAGAAAGCTATCTTGGCCACAATGGAACCATAGGCAATTACCGGAGGTGATTTCAGCCAGAGTACAAGGGACAGGGCTTGGTTGCAAAGGGCAAGATTGTAATAGAAAATTGGGCACAAGGGTTAGATAGTAACATTCCAGGAAAGACTCCAGAGCTGTGAAAACATAAAGGGCCTGGTAAGGAATTGATAGTGTCTTTTCTCTTGTCTCCTAGAATAATAGCTCAAAACCCTGAATGTGAATAAATTCTAGCTAGAATACCAGACTAACTCAAGCTTCCTACACAGATGGTAAACTCTAGCTTGTTTGTAAAGTGGCCTGGTTCCCTTAGCAAACACCCAAGACCCACTAGAGGGTGAAAGTAGCCAACTTTCCGGGAGATAAACTGGGATTTTATGGATAGCAAAGTCAGTGACATCTTAATGCAACATTAAACCTCAAAACTGGGACCTCAACAGCCAGGAAACACTTGAGCTCTGGCAATGTACAAACAGACAGGCAACATCTTGAATCCTTCATGGCCAGCACTGAAATGTGTCCCAAAGTTTTGATTTAATAGGAAAGGCAATGATAAAGGAAACAAAAGATCTAAAAGTATTGCTATTCATTAAAGATAAGGCCAAGCTTGAACTCTTATGTCCTTAAATTTGTATTCTTATAAACTGTTTGAAAAATAACTTTTTCATTCTTGATTGTTTTTACCTCAATAGGAAATTTATTTCTTTTTAAATCACAACTTGCCAGCTTGCTTTTGTTCTGTAAGTACAGTAAGATTTAACTGCTCTCCCCATGTTGTTTGCGTGGCTTCTGTTGTTGCTTGATTTGAAAATTGTCCATTTCAAACTCATTAGTTAAAATACCCATAATCTTGGGTTCTGATATCAAGTGGTTTGCTTAAATTGGATAAACGCTATTAATTTAGCTTAAGTTCAATTCAGATTTTGCCATATTTCTTGACTATAACTAAGGTGCCATTGTGAAAACTGGCACATATTACTAGCTAGTATTTTTATTACAAGTTACATTTTATGAAATGCTTTACATATGTTATCTCATCTGAGCCTCACAATAATCCTGGGAGGTAAGTGCTATTATTATCCCCATTGTACAGATGAGGAAGGAAACTG